AGCGGTTCAAGTGCTGTTAGACCAGAGCAGTCATTTGAATATTCATAGTTTTTCTCATCATAAGGGCCTTGGTGTTAAGTATATGAATGGGAGGTGGTGTGGCCTTGTACATAGGACAAGTGTCAAAAACACGTTTATATTTTCTTGGAAGAGAAAACCCAGTGAATGGAAAAAAAAAAAGATTTAAATGATTAATGTTGTGTTTTATTTTATGGTTTTCAAAAGAACATCAATGTGTTCTTCCAGACACAGAAAATAAGCAAAAAGCCAGCTTCTGTAAGTGTGGAAGTACGGGTTCATGGGTGTGTCCACATGCATTTGTGTGTGTGAATGAGGGAGTATTTTGGACTTGCACAGCTAAATTAAAAATACTGTTGAAAACACCATTGTCCTTGATAATGATGGTGAAAATAAGGTACTGTTAGAAGTTGTAGTGTTGAAGTTTGCTGAAAAAAAGGGGGAGGTCACTAAGGTTCAAAAGTCAGTCCACCCAAAATCACAAATGCACATACTGAATTTTTAGCGCATCCCTAGTGATGTCAAGCCAGGCAGATGTATGAGTCGTAAGCTTTCGTGATCAGTTGAGATCAGCTACAACCGGGGTGGCGTGGCAACTACAGCTTTGTATAGATGTAAGTTGGAAAACTCAAGGTCCTTTTACTACCTTGTACTGCTTGTATTTTTCTCAACCACATCTCACAGTTCACCTCGGTGTATGGTGTTTGCTTACACACAGTGGCATTGCATCAATACATACAAAACTCAAGGCATGAGTGACAAAGCTAAAAGCTACAGTACCCCCATGAGAGACAGTCAAAAGGAAATAGCTAGAAAGTGGACCTTGATCTTTTTTCCACTGGTCTAACTATTGTTTCTGAGGTTTAAAATTAATTGATCTTTTTTGGTTTGTTTTGGATGAACTTACAATGTAATCTTTTTCATTTTTTACAAAATACTGAGTCCAAGAACAACATTAGACCTGATTTTTGTATTGTCTTAGGTGTTTCCAACAAAGTACAGCCCAGTCTTCCAGATATTTGCTTCACTGCCTGAATGTGACCTCCCCTGAGTTATAACATGTGTTAAGTGTTGAAGAGAGAGTAATATTATGTGGGGAAGTCTTTTTTACATTCCACTGTTTGTCTTTGTCTATGGGATGCATGTAAGTTTGTGTGTTTGCCCTGTGTGTGAGCATATTTCTTGTGAGTCCCTCTGTGTGTATATCTGCACTGAGTTCAATTTTGCAAGTTTAATACAGAACAATATTGTTTACCATTTTTAATCTGTATGAAACAATCCAGATGTACAAAGAAATATGTTTTTTTAAGTGGTCACTTCTTTAAAAAACAGTGCACTTGTTGGATACAAAGCTGGAACAAACCTCTCTTCATTGCTGGGTTGTTTTCCTCATGTAGCTTATACTAAAAGAACATTTGGTTTGAAAGGAGGAAAATCTTTTATACATCAGCTGAAAGTGAAGGTCAAAAGAAAAATGTCACAAACCAGTTTTACAATTCTAGATGAAACCTGTTTCCTTTTATCTCCATACAACAGATAATGAGTTCAGATATAAGCAGATACATTTTGTCCTATCTGTCCTTATTATGTGGTCTGATTCAATTCACTGAAGTCAAAAATTAAAGGGTGCCTCCCTAACATCACAGAGGTGACTTTCCCCCCAAAAAACCCCTGTCGTGCACACATGCTATCTGGCACAAAATATTCTGTGCATCTTGTAAACCCTGCCATGCCTTGCTCTCTACCATATGCACTCCCTCTTCATGTATCAGGGAGGGGGTAGGAAAAAAAGGTGAGATGGAAGATAATCATCACCTCTTTGCATTACTGTTAGCTATGTCTCAGGTCAGAGCAGTACACTGGAGCAACCCAAAATAACCAGGAGCACAGTCATCTGTCCTGATCACCCTACAAGGCATCATTGTGAATGCTGCTGATAAAACATTACACTGCAAAGGCCTGTTTTAGTTTTAAGACGCTGAGCTAGGATTGGCTTTCTACACTCTTCGGTGGCTTAAATACCACATACTGGTAAATTTTACTGGACAAGCTCGCATTACTAATTTAGGGCATTCTGCTTGAGATAAAAAGGGGTTAACCAGCAACATTTTAGTTTATGTACTGTACAAATGATTGTGAAGTGTCCTGTATGGACAAAAGAAATCATCGTTCTTTACTGGGGTCATTGATATCTGTCTGTCCTTGGTATCAGCCCTCGCTTTCACTCCTGTTTTTCTTTGTAATTACTCATCTGTGAGGTGCACAATGTTAAATATCAACCATTTATTTTTTTGAAATCTGTACAGTGTATATAATGATATAAATGTGTATATAAAACAAAGATACTTCTGGTCTGGTATTATGAATTTTTAAGAAGCTTTTTATGGATGTTACAACAAAAAGCTTATTATTAACTTATAGTTTATCTACAGTGGACCTGGTTGGGCACAAATGTGAATGAAGTAGAGACTCTTTACTTTATATTTAAGTACCTTATATTAAATGTTATAATACTAAGTATTGTAATGTAGGACTGAATGAGGAAGGGGCCGTAGAAAGAATTAGCCTTTTCTGTGCCGAATGGAGTCGCTCTTTTAATAGAATACAACTGGGGATTATAGCAACAACATAATGTAGAACACACACACCAACTCTGAACTAAACATATCCTACCCTGAGGGGCATTTTGGGGGATCCTGCCAGGTCTTTCCCCCTTAGGCATTCTGGGGGACCTTGCCAAGTGTCTCTCCACCCCCAACGCTACAGTATTATCAGAAAAATCCAAAAGTAGTAATTCCGCAGAAAAGTAATGTTGAAAATTAATACTGACCACTCAAAAGCGTCAGACTAAAACTACTGCAGACAGTAAACAAAGTGCCCATGGCATGCTCATTTTGCTCATTTCCAGCCATTTAAGGTACCTCTAGATTAGCTTTGCACCCATCATCACTCCAAATAGTCTGTAATTATTTCAGAACAATAAAAGCAAAGAGCCTCTTCCTAAAAATGAGAGGATAGTTCATGAACACACAACTCCTGTTACTGGTGTTGTGTCGAAAGTGGACAGCACAAGGAATCACAACAACATTAATAAATTTGAATTTCTTCTCCATTGACAGGTAAACAATGGTATACTGTATGTACTGATGAAAAGAGATGTGTAACCCCCTAAACAAAGCGGGTAATTGAGAAACCCCATATTTTAACTGGCATAATGCAGACATAGTAACTTCTCCAGCTTTACAACTATTTTACAGAAACAAGGCTTTAACAGACATGTACCGTGTGGTGTTTTTACTTACCGTTAAGTCCCAAACTTAGCTTACTGATAAGCTAGATGATCATTCCATTGCACTTTCAGTGTATTCAGTTTATTTCACTGTGACAGGTATATTAGAGGTGGAGGTGTGGCAATTTTTGTGAAAAAAAAATGCTTTCCTGTTACTCTTAATTCTGTGTCTAGCGCAAAAGCTTTTGAATTTCTAGCCATAAGCATTCTTTTGCAAAAACTTGCCCATATTGGATTTGATGAGAAGTCATGTAATTGGTTTAGAAATTACTTGTCTTACCTATCACAAACTGTTGTAGTGAATTGTTTTAAGCCTAATTTTATGGCTACTCTTAGAGGAGTACCTCAAGGATCCATTTTGGCCCCACTTTATTCACAATTTTTATTAATAATCTAGGAACCAAAGTAATTAGCAGTACTAGGCATTTATATGCAGATGACAGGGTCATTTATGTAGTGGCCCCCTCCACTGATCAGGCTTTCCAGTGTTTACAGTCTGATTGTTCAACATCATCTTCTTGATCTTAAACTAACATTAAATTCCTGTAAAACACAGTATATGATTT